CCCCCCTCCCCCCCCCCCCCCCCCGCCCCGCCAGTGGGATGGGGAGGAGAATCAGAAAAAAAAAGTAAAACTTATAGGTTGAGATAAGAACGATTTAATAACTGAAGTAAAATAAACTGTAATACTAACAATAATTAAAAAATACAATAATAATAATAATTGTAATGAAAAGGAATATAATAAAATTTTAAAATAATAATAATTAAAAAATAAACCCCAAGAAAAGACAAGTGATGCACAATGCAGTTGCTCACTACCTGCTGACCGATGCCCAAGCAGCGATCCACCCCTCCTGGCCAACTCCCCCCTAGTTTATATACTGAGCATGACATTCTATGGTATGGAATATCCCTTTGGCTAGCTGGGGTCAGCTGTCCTTGCTATGCTCCCTGCCAGCTTCTTGTACACCAGCTTGCTGGCAGAGCATGGGAAACTGAAAAATCCTTAAGTGAAGTGCTACTTAGCAACAACTAAACAACTAAAAAGTGTGTTATCAACATTATTCTCACACTAAATCCAAAACACACTGTACCAGCTACTAAGAAGAAAATTAACTCTGTCCCAGCTGAAACCAGGACATCTATGTTTTTCTGTTTTTTTCAGTACACTGAAGCAATCTGAATTGAAATTAACCCATTCAGAACAAAATGTTACTTTTTTGTTGTTGGATAGTTGGAAAATTGCAAAATAGAAGTGATTACTTGGATATTTACTTTGCAGAATCTGCATTTGCTATGAAAAAAATTGATGGATTCCTAGCCAGCTGAAAGTAAAATATTGAATAATAGAAAAATGCTGAATATTTTTGGCGTGGTTATTTGGGGTGTGTGTGTGTCTTTATTTTGTTTTTCATTGTTTTAAGTCTTTTGGAAACCTTGAAGTCTCAAAGATGAGGTAATTGGGAAAAGTGATCAATAAAAACAAAGTAAGAGTTGCTGCCTTACCTGAAACTGCCTAAGAGAGAATATAGGAATTAATCACCAAGTGTTGATAATACACTGAAGGTCAGTTTCTCCTAAGCAACATGAGAAGTTATGGGAAAGCTCTGAAGAGATAAAGAACAGATTCTTTCCTGCAGGGATTTTCTAGAAATCCTCCTGTGCTGATGCTTCTAAAATCAGATCTCAAAATTACATGACTTGCTTAGTTTATCTTGTTGGCCTAAAACGTATATTAAAAGCTATTTGATGTTGACCGTCTAAATCAGCCCTCAATTTGGTGAAAGAACGGTTTGGACCCAGTGATGTCCCACTGAGTCTACATTTTAGTTTTTGTCAGGAGAGTGCTTATTATATATTCTCTAATTAATGTGCTTTGATTTGCATTATGGAGCAGTCTCAAAGCATGCAAATAGATTCCATTAGATGAAAACAAACTGGAAGTTGTGCTTCTGGGAATGCACCTATTGTGCTTTACAGTGTGCATTCATTTACAGTATTGGACTAAAGTTAGTATGGTCCAATGGTAAGCCCACCAAAATGTATGTAGCATTGTTATTGAATTCTCAGCACCAAGTGCTTTGCTTTATAGATCAGCTCCTCTTGTGCAGTACTACTTGCTAATGTACATCTAGTGTAAGATACCCAATAAAAACAAATGGCATGTCAAAATTTGTTGTAGTTTGTTTAGTCTAGACCTCAGCAGTACTCCAGGGTGGCCGTCAGCTGTTCTGAATCACAGATACAAGAGCTGCTTATACATTTATTTGGTCCCCTTTCTATCGAATCTGTACAGGTTGCAGTCTGTTTCACAAGGAAAATAATATCCTCATTTTACAAAGGTAGAGAAACTTAACCAAAAATGGTGAGGAAGTCATCTTTAGAAAAGGGAACCGAACCCGGTAACAGCGATCCCCTATGTAGTACTCTAGCTATGGGATGGATTTTTTTTTTATGGAAGCACTACTCTGCTTCTGTACAAGTATGATGGTTCTCTTGTCCATTTACTAGTATTTGTGGGCAAAGATGAAGCTATCACTGAAGTCACAGGAGAAGTGAGAGGAAAATCTTTCTGGACCATAACTGACTTAATAGTTTTATCAATTTGTCAATATTTGTAATACCACCTACATTTCTGAATACTGTTTAGAGCAAAACCACCTTTTTTGGTCTATGCCCTGGAAAAAAACCTTTATCTAATCATGTAAAGAGCATGTGAAATGTATGGTGGTACATGACTTAGATATGTTCAGGATGGTCAGACAACATGTTGTAGTACTAACTGAAGTTTTATTACACGTGAGGTTGATTCTAGAAACAAAGGCATTTAAAACATACAAAGAGACACAATGATTACTGAGCTGCTGAAGAAAAGTGAAGGACGCGGTCAAATACATGTTTACCTGTATCCATAGTAAAGTATTTCTTACAGAGTACTGAAGATGAAGGATTAATATGAAGTCATTCCTTAGATGTGGTTAGTTACAATGTACTACGGAAGAATCTAAAACATGAGGTTGTGGTATAGCTAGTGTCATATTTGTATCTGGTTTGAATTCAGTATTATAACTAACCTAAGCAGTTAGGCTCAGACTTGTGAGACAGGATGCCTTACAGTAGGATGACCAGTTAAATTAACGATACCTAGAGTCCACCCAGGTACCTTCAGTATGCAGGTGTAATTGAGCTACCTTTGGAGCAGCTCCTCTGCTGACAGAGAAAGCATAAAAAACCAAGTCAGTATCAGCATAATGTGCTTGACTAATTTTTGTCAACTTGGGAGCTGCTTTATGGGAAGCTTAGGTGTTCTTGCAAGGGGAGGCAGGGTTCTATATGACGTGAGTCCGACTGCTGGGGAGAATAATAAAGTTGGCCTTTCCAGCATCCATTGTCTGCGTTCCTGAGTGAGCGCCCAGAGAGATACGAAAACATTCCTATGTGTCTTATTTTGGTGTTTCTTATTAATTTCAATTTCTAGGAAGAGTTTTATGGAAAAGAATTGATTTTGGCTGACCGAGAAACGGTGGAACAAGAAGCAGATGGCATTTTAAAAGAAGCTGATGTTTGTGATGTCGCATTTCTTGTAGTTGGCGATCCTTTTGGGTAAGACAAAGCAACATTTTAATTATTGCTGTAGCTTGATCACTCTCTTTTTTTTCAATAGGAAGGAGCCATACTCCATAACTGTAATTCTTTATGGAGAAGCTGCTTTTCAGGCCAGAAGCACGTTTTATGTCTTTGTATATTTTTTCTTGCGTTAAAAAGGTACATGCAATTGTCTGCACTTTATCTTGCTTTGGAGTTTCCTTGCCCAGATATCCCTTATATATAGGAATGTGGACCCTCCAGGATGTATAAATCATTCCTTTAGCAGTCACTTATCGTTTCATTCTCCATGCTAACTTTTATAGAGAATATTTTGTTCCAGGTTTTATCTGCTAACAGAAGAAATTCTAGGATATCGCATAATTAAGAAGTGTGCTATGTTTTGAGAGAGTATTCTTTTAGTTGCTATTTGTACTTATAAACAGCTTTTATGTTGAGTTGTTTTAGAATGAATACTAATTGTTGGTTGTACAGTGCTTCTGCTTTGATATATGCTAGTTTTTAAAATCACTT